ATTGCCAAACATGGGAAACTGCTGCAGTTCTTTTCCCACTAGAGACATTACAGTTTATTTCACCAAGTGCTCATTAAATGATCTTGTTTCTTAGTTCCTGCCTGAACACTACCATGCCATTTCTGTCACTCTAAGGCTATATGCTGTTTGATATGGCAGGCAATAGCCACATATGGCTTTTTAAACTTTAAATTGAATAACATTCAATAAAACTAAAAATTCAATTCTTAGTTGCATTTCCTACGTTTCAAGTGCTCAGTAGTCACAGGTGGCTATGGGCCACAGTATTGGACAGCACAAATATAGAGTGTTTTAATTGTTGCAGACAATTCTTTTGGATAGCTCTGCTCTAAGGGAACCACAGGGAAGTATGATGAGAGGCAAGAGCTTCCAAAAGAGTTAGAAGGTAGACATGAGATGGATGTCTAGAAAGCACAGTATCTTTGTGTTACTACTTAACCCATTTATGTCTGAGGTTGCAATTTTTGAATTTTTGCAATCAGACCTTGGCAATGACCTTGAGCAGTAGGATGTAAATAACTTCCACATGCTTAGTGTTCCAATAGTGGAACACTAGGCATAAATTAAGTTCTTTCTGTCCAACAACCCCCTTCTGGGAACTATCTTCCTTCTTCCCCAGTTCATCCATATGAGTCTCATAGGGTCTGCTGTATTCTTCCATGACCCTACCACTCTGGCCACAGAAGTTTTGTTCAGGGGCATGCACTTGACTCAGGCTAGGGCTAATTTTTGTACTTAGCCTCCTGACTGGTATGAAATAGAGTAGTATTTCATTTGAGTTGAGCCAGTGATACTCCACCTTGTGGGGACTTTTTGAACCTGGCACAAACTGTGAGCTATAAAGCTCGATAGCCCTCAAGGGTCATGTTTCCTTGACAAAACCTGTGGTGAGCAAGCAAAATCAAGCTAACATGCACAGAAGCAGAGATAAGAAGTAGAAAGTATGGTGATAGCATTGGAGTTTCCAAGTCTAGCTGATCCTGAGGCCAGGGTTTATTTCTGTACTTATATCTTTATAATTAACTTTCCATTTTCCTTAAGCTAATTCAAATTGAGTTGCTCTCGTTTGCAACCCCAAAAAATATTAACTAATGTACAATTAATTGAAGACAGAGCAGCTTGTTGGAATGTATGGATTTAGAGAGGCAAGTATAATGCAAATTTGTAATGTAACAAATATAAACAAAGTCAATTATATACATCAATGAAGCTCTGATAATTATATTTACTTTAAACAGAAACTAATTTATAATTGCAAAAAGACAATATTATTTTATAAAGATATTTTGCCATATTTTGTTTAACCTCATGAGTGCCAGAAAAAAAGACAAAATATCACAATAACTAATAGTATAATTTTTCATGGCACTATGATTCATTAAAAAAAGAAATATTCATAGTTTTAACTTGGTTTTTCACCAGGTTTGTATAATCCGGCCATCTCTTTTCAGATAATTACAACTGGTAATAAAGCTTAAAGTTTAAAAGTGTTGGCTGGGTGCACTGTCTCAGTTTGGGTGCAGTGGCTCATGCCTATAATCCCAGCATGAGGGAGGCCGAGGCAGGACGATCACTTGAGCCCAGAAATTTGAGACCAACCTTGGTAACAAAGTGGGAACTTACAGCTACAAAAAATAAAAATAAAAAAAGTTAGCCAGGTGTGGTGGTGCATACCTCTGGTCCTGGCTACACAGGATGCTGAGGTAGAAGGATTGCTTGAGCTTAGGAGGTTGAGGCTGCAGTGAATCATTTCACACCACTGCACTCCAGGCTGGATGATGAGAGAGACCTGTTTGAAAAAAAAAAGTCTCCCTTACTCAAATACTCAAAATCCCTGAATAACATAATATCGACGAAATTTTCAATATATGTATATATATATATATATATATATATATATATATATATATATAGTGTGTAGATACTTGTTAAATCTCTTCTTATTCAACTATATAATTGCTAGGTAGTATTTTTTTTCATTCTTTTAGTGGTTTAGTCTTTTTCAATTGAACAGCTTAAATTAAAGGAAAGGTCCAATTTTAAATATGAGTTGTTTCTTAAAAGTATATTGGGAATTTTGTAACTAGGAATGTACTTTCCCATCAAGATGATATTGCTATCAATAGTAGTTAGTTATTTTGTGTGGTACATGACAACTGCTTAACTAATGTAGGTGAAATTACTCTTCACTTCCCTTTTGAGTTGTTCTTCCCACATGATTCACCTTCCATGCTCGCTTTTCCACTGATGTTTCAGCCACATCACTAGGTAATCAGCTTTGTGATCCTGGAAACAAAACTATCATTCAAAATAACACCTCTATGAAAAACTAATTTGAAATTCAAAATACCAAAAACATTTCCATTTCATAATCATAAGACAGGAAATTAGTTTGACTAACTCCCGTCACCCAAGCTGGAGTGCACTAGTGTGATCACTGTTCACTGCAGCCTTGACTTCCGCTCAGGTGATTCTGCCACCTCTGTCTCTTGAGTAGCTGGGACTATAGGCATGTGCCACCATATCTGGATAATTTCTTGTATTTTTAGTAGAGATGGGGTTTCACCATGTTGCGCAGGCTGGTCTTGAACTCCTGGGCTCAAGCCTGCCTCAGCCTCCCAGAGTGCTGGGATTATAGGCATGAGCCACCATGCCCAGCTTGACTTCTTTTATTCTACTTTTCCTATCTGAACTCCTATCTCCACAATACATAATGGTAATTGCTTGAATTATATGTTTGGAACCTGTTTTGCAAATAATTTTTTATGAAGAAGAATGAAAAATGAAAATGAAGAATCTCTTGAGCATTCCCTAGTACATAAAGGTATACAGACTGAAGATAGTTTTGGAGGTGTAAGATCAAGATTAGAAACAATTTTTGTCATTAGGCAGGATGTGTAAGTAATAAAATGTAAAACATTTAAATTACAAATAATTGACACTCCCTAAAATTAAAAGTATCAAACCCATAACATACTTTAGAAATAAGAATATGTAAGACACAAAATTAAAAATCTGACTCCAAGTGGCTTCTAAGCAAACCCAGAATCTATATGAAATGCTAGCATTTGGAAACATAGCTTTTCTTCTTTTTTTTTTTTTCTTTTTTAATTAAGACAATGTTGGTAGGGAGAATTCTGCATTCTAATCCAGAGGGAAAGGCCATCAATACCCAGTGGCCTTGGCCTAAACTCCTGTACTCAACAAGTTTGAAACTCAAGTTCATCACAAATACACACACAAATAAGTTTCCCGAGCAAATAATAGTGATGTTAATCTGGGTTATGGAAACTCACATCATCTGGTCATTTATTTAGTAGCTGTGTAATTGGTGAGGAAAGGATGATTAAAATTTTCAGGCTTTCAATGTGAAATTCTTTAAAAGTTTGAACAATTGGATTACTCAGAGCTAGCCAGAAACCACAAACTCGGAACTGTGGTGTCAAGTTCAGATCAATGTCTTGGAGTTCAAGACTGTTTTAAGAGAAGCTGCCTGGGGAAAATGTCATTAACTAAACATTTTACCTGAATCCTATGGATGTCTATCATAAACTCTCATGGAGCTTTCCTAAACTACTGGCATTTTAATGTTTTCTGAGTAGAACAGTATTTTATTTGATCCTTCAATAACAATTCTTGGTTGTAGCTAGTTTTCAGCACAGTGCCAGCTCCACAGCTATTCACTGAACTAATGAAAATGGTAAAGGATGAATGACTATTGAGCATAAACTGCAACTGAAGGAGAGGTTATATAAAAACAATGGAAAGCAGTTTCTGCTCTAGATTTACAGTCCAACCTCGCTTACATAAGTGTAAAATATTTTTTTCTTTGTGTCAGTCCCTAATATAGCTATTTTGCTCCAGGAATTAGCATTTCCTCCACGACGGAAAATCATTAAACTCCCTTTTTCTCAACGTTGTTTATGCTGTTGATTGTCCAGGTCCTCAAATTACGAAGTGAAGTTGAGAGTTGGGTAAATGGTTGAGCGGTTCAAGTACCTTAAGCAAAATCTAAGCGGCCAATTGCTGTGATCAGGGTTGACCTCGGACTGTTCACAATGCTCACAGGTTTGCAAATTTAAAAAACCTGCATGTGACATGCTTTCCAGGTCCTTTGTCAAAATGTCTGTCTTACCCCTACAAATGTGCGTTTACAATTGTAGACAAATTCCAACTCTTACTTCCAAGAGGTAAACCAAGCTCTGGGTGGCAGCAAGGCTTATCAAGAGCCAGGCTATGGAGTGAAGCGAGCGCGTGCAGGTGTGTTTTTGTGTTTGTGTGTGTGCGTGTGTGTGTGTGTGTGTGAGTGTGAAAGAGAGAGAGACCACTGCTGTGCTCAGGATTCCTCTCTCCTTTTTGCTTTTTGCCAACTGGCTGTCTCTCCACCTCACAGTGGAGATGTGAGACAACATGTGGCTGATTCGGGCAAAACAAAACAAAATGAAACAAAACCAAACCTAAACAGACCCTGTTACCAAATCTGAGAATGTCAGTGGGTGGGAATCCTTTTCAACAAGGAGACCTGTCCATGGTCCTGACCACATCATTTGCCACTCGCCTCCTTCCTCGACTCGGTTTACTGCAAGTAGCGAACTGGAGGGCGCCCGGCGTCAGGAAGCTCGGGCCGGGCCCCCACACGAGCTCGGCGCGCCTCGGGCGGGTCTCGGGCGCCGGCCTATGGCTCTCCGGGCCGGGCACCTGTTTAGAATCCCGGCGCGAGGCGCGGTGGGGGCGGCGGGGCGGGGCGGGGTGGGGTGGGGTGGGGTGGGGGCGGGGCGGTGTCACGTGCCGTCGGTGGCGGCGGCGGCGGCGGCCCTGGGAAGGTTCCATTTCTTCCGCGGCCCGCACTCGCGGCGCTCAGGGCCCCTCCCTCGCCCCGCCCGCGGCGCCCCTCGCGGCCGCGCAGCCCGGCGACTCCGGGCCGGGCCCCGCCCCTCTCGCTGGCGGCCTCGGCGCGTCCTCCGCCCGCCCTCGCGCCCGCCGCCCCCGCCATCCACTTGGTGCGGTCCATGGCAAGCACATCATGGCGATTGAAGGTAAGTGGAGGCTGACGACTGGGAGCGAGGATGCGGACCGCCCAGCTGGCGGGGGGTTCGGAGGCGCGCCGGCAGGCCGAGGCGCTCACGGAGCCGCTTCCTGAGGGCTGGAGCCGGCTGAGGACGTGCGGGGGTCCCGGCCGCGTCTCGGGAGGCGGGTGGGCGGAGCGGCGCCGCGGGGACCCGGGGCTCGGCTGGCTCGCTCGCCCCGGCCTTCGCGCTTTCACCGGCCTCTCGGCGGCCGCACGCGGGGCAGAGCGGGCTGGCGGGCAGGTGCAGTGCCCCGGCCGCCGCCTCCTGCCGCCTGCGCGGAGTGGGGCTCGGGCTGCGGCCCTGCAGACCCCGCGGGACGGGCTGGGAAGAGCGAAGGGCCACTGGGGGCTCCGGCTGCACTCTCTTCTCTTGCCCCCCGCCGCGGCAAACCGTCCTTCCGCAATACCCGCCTTCCTGCCAAACTGAGAGTCCAGTTTTTTGTCCCCTTCCTAATCCTTCCCTGTCCCCACTTGGGCTGGGCTGCGCTCTGTTCCCCTTCTGTTTGCTGTTGCAGGGGTCCAGGAAATTGGGGTTAGGTTAATGTCCTCCTCAAGTGGTTTTATTCCCCCCCTCCATACTCAAAACTGTTTTTTTTTCCATGAAAAGAAGTAAATACGTCTTTAAAACAAGCACACATTCTTAGAATCCTGCAAATATCATTCTGTGAAGTGTTATAGTGCCAACAATGTTCGTATTTCAAAAAGCAGCTTAATAAAAATTAAGTTCCTAGGTAAGGTCGTTGAAACTAAAGTGTATTTTTCTCTTGTTCCAGAAACATGTAACTGGGACCAAGTATCTATGCTTTGCCTTGTTTTTAAGGAAAATATTGTGAAAATTAATTTCACACATCTAGGTTATTTATGTGAAAGATTACGTCTTACAGGCCCCGTCTTTTAGATTGACTCAAGCAGTGAAAGTAATTTGTACATTTTTCCTGTGTATCCATATTCATCTGTACAGCTATGCAAAGTACCTATTATCGTTATTTGTCTGAATTGAATGTGTGTTCCTAAAGAAAACTTTTTAAAGCGTTTCCCTTCTAGGTGACCAATCATTGGTAGCATGCATCTCTGGGGACTTCTTTTTGTCAGATCTTGTGGACTCCAAAATAGAGTTAGCTGTGTGTTTTATGTTTATCTTTTTTATTTAAGAGAGTGAGTACCTGTTATATGCAAGACACACATTCATACAGTTTCAATTGTCTACTTTAGTTAAAATGGTGGGGAATAATCTGTGGTATTCCTGTTATCTGGAGCAGTACTTTGAATGTTTATTTCCCTCACTATCCTTTTACCAAAGGTTGAAAATCAAGAAACCAAATCCGCTGATTTGCATTGTGTACTTTATTTTCCCAACTAGTTTGTGGTAGAGTTTCTTGTGAAGCCGCGAAGGTAGAAAGGTTTAGGCAGAACATGAGGAAAATCCTTCAGCTAGATACCATTCAGATATGATGCCATAACTTGTAATTTCTTAAAATCTTTTCAGATTTTTTTTCTTAGTTCTTCCTTTCTTCTGGCAGTTAAATGTTACTGATTCCTTTTCCATGTCACCTGATGGCATTTTGCTCTGCCTACTACTTATATGTTTAAAGAGTAAGATTTTTAAAAATCCTGACATTTTAGAGATTCTTCTGTGTTTGATGTACTCTCATATATTCATACTGAAGCATTTGCCTGAGGTTTCATAATACAAAGATTAGGAAGTATATCTTTTCTAGTTTGTCAAAGAAACTATAATTAATATTAGCACTTCAGATAAATATGGCAGTTCGAATTAGCATAACTGTGCTCCTTATCACATAGTAGATTCATTATGCATACCCTCCCCAGGCCGTGTTATGGAGTAAAATGAGTTCTGCATGCCACTCTGTACTAAGGACATCTTAGAGATTTAGGGGCCCAAAAGGGCATCTCATCTTTTCAGTGAAGTGTTTCTTAAAACATCCAGTTTCTTCATTCACCTATTAATTCAATAGACTTTTTTTTTTTTTTTTCGCTACGGTAGCCATATACAATGTTCATTGCTAGATTCCATGGGGCCAAAAAGATGAATAAGGCTGTAATCCTTCCCTCAAAGAGTTCATATTTTATTGGGAGAGACAGATAATTTTAAACATGCAATTACAATGTAGTGTGAATTCTAAGAGATGGATCATCTTTCTTTTGTATAAAAACATTAAATGATGATGAATCTAACACTGTTTTTTAGGCAGTAATTCTCATATTCATAACATTTTTGTATTTGGCCGAATATCTGCCATTCAGTAACGTCTGTCTACCCATCCTAGTTTTGCTTTCTGTAGCAATAAATTAAAATCCCACTATTCTCTCCATTTATGATATCCCTTCTGCCATTCGAAGACAGCTCTAGAGTGTTTTCTAGATAAAATATCCACTTCCCTCCTTTGGAGGATCTGGAGTTGTTTCTTTTAAAATTTGGAGTATAGTAGTGGGTCATTTCATTCCAGTTACACTGTTGAATAGCATACATTAAAATTGTTATACCACTCCTTCACTTGCGTGTAATCCTATTAATATAGCTTAATATTAGAATAGCTTTTTTGGAGCTTCATGTTGGCTCAGAGCAAGGCTGTAATCAACTAAAACCACAGTCTCTTTTACCTAGACTACTCTCAAGGCATGTTCCTGCAATCCCTTGCTTAGCTAACTAACGTTTTGAACTGAACAGATCTTTTTTATCTGTTAAGCACACTCTGATTAGCTATGGCTCGATGTTTTGGCCTTTGAGTCTAGACTTTTAAATACTGAGGATTGTTTTTATTTCCTTCTCTGTGCAAACCTCCTATTTTACAACACAAGATTTTTTCTCTACTAATTATTCATTTCCTCCTTTTATCAGTCAGATGAGTAACTACTAGCAAAAAAAAAAAAAAAAGACAAATATAAGATGATACAGTTATCATACTGAACTAACATAATTCCAGTCAGAGGTAAAGAAGTTAGGCATAAAGGTGCAATTTTTAAAAGGCATTTTGAAATATTGAAAGTAGTTACACATCCTTACTGTTGGCTTAGTGGTCTGGCAATCCCAGGTTTGGAATCATTGTTGTACCCTAGCCTATGAGGTGATGTTATTGTTATCTAGCATATTAATTTTTCTAGTGTTGACCTCTGTCAATCTGATAGTATTGACTCTTTTTGTTGTATTTGAAATTTCTCCTCTCAGTCTTCATCTACCTGACCTAATGTTCTAGTGCAGGCGTCCCCAAACTTTTTACACAGGGGGCCAGTTCACTGTCCCTCAGACCGTTGGAGGGCCGCCACATACTGTGCTCCTCTCACTGACCACCAATGAAAGAGGTGCCCCTTCCTGAAGTGTGGCGGGGGGCTGGATAAATGGCCTCAGGGGGCCGCATGCGGCCCGTGGGCCGTAGTTTGGGGACGCCTGTTTTAGTGGCTTCCATTCTTAACCGTGTTGCCATTGTCTGCTTTCTACACACTGCCATAATTGCACACGTTGAACAGTTTTGTAATCACTTACATACAAATTTGTTTTTCCTATCTGTAAATTTCTAGAGGTTAAGGTCTTATTTGCTTTTGTCCCCTTAGACTTTGTGTAGTACCTCAATTCAGTTGTCCCTTGGTAACCATGGGGGAGATTGGTTCCAGGTCCCCTGCGTATACCAAAATTTGAGGATACTAAAGTTCTTTATATCATATGGCATAATATTTTCATATAACTTGTGCATACCCTCCCATATACTTTAAATCATCTCCAGTCTACTTGTGATACCTAGTACAATGTGAATGCTTTGTAAATACTTCTTTAGGGAATAATGACAAGAAAAAAGTCTGTGTGTATTCAGTGCACATACAACCACTGTAGGTCTAACTACATTTTCCATGCACAGTTAGTTAAATCCATAGATGCTGAACCTATGGATGTGGTGAGGCAGCTGTATTTTGTGTGAACTCAAGCCAAGTTTCTTGGATTGTTTTATGGAATTCTGTACATTGTTACCATAGAGTATGCCACTGCTGAGAAGCATATTTCTAACACAGAATTTTCCTGACTTGTCTTTCCAAATAGTGGCCAGATAGCTTCATGGTGTCCTCAGGAATCCAAAATATTTAGGGAAGGATATTCAGAATGTCCCAAAGTTGTCATCACAGTCACCAAATTCAGCCTCCATGCAGATTTACCCCCCGGTCTGTGCACATTTACCATCTGAGTGGCATTTTTAATTAACCACATATCTGAGTTAAAAACCTGGACACCTACCTTGTCTCACATTCACTTCCCACATCCTGTTTGAACACTAATCTTGCCAAGTCTACACCTCAAAGCAGTTGGTGCTGCTTAGTGTCTTCACTTTAGTTTATGCCCTTATCACTCATGAAGAGACTTGCATTAGTTTCCTAAGTACTCTTATTTTCCAGTGTTAAGTTTCCTTCCAGTTCATTTTCCAAGGTAGTGTTAGTTGTCTTTGTTATTATAAAATGCAAATCTGAATTTCTTAAAACCTCAGGATAAAGTGGGCCTTTAATGATCTAACTCTTGCCCTTCCTTCATTCAGTCCACATTTTTCTGTCTCTTCCATTAGAATATTAGAAGACTCTGCAAACTTCTTTGCCGAAGTAAAAAATAAACACTTGGTACATTACTATATTAACTTTAACTACTTCTCTGAGTAACATTTTTTAAAAATGTAGAATAAGGTTAAACTAGCTAGAATCTGTCTATTTGTGTATGTGTGTGTCTATAGTGCATTTACTTTTTTTTAATGAACCTGATAATTTGCTACATGCATATATTGTATTTTTTAAATAATGAGAAGAATTCTGAGATGTTCCTTTTTTTTTTTTTTTGAGATGTTCTTTAAGGTTTCTTTTGACTCTAAGATTTCTAAGGCAAAATTTAGACTTTCAAAAGCTATTTGAAATATTTAATTAAAAAATCCAGTAGATTTACTTTTGAGTAATTTATAGTTTATTCAAGGTTCCTTT